GAGACCCGGCCCCGTGCACAGGGGCCACCGCGCGCGGCCAGGCACGAGCCGGCGCCAACCGCGAAGAGCTCTCGCGGCGCGCGGCAGCGCGACCTCCGTCCCCCCAGAAACATCCAGTTAATCTGGCGCACCAACTTCGCGCCCAGCATGGGTGGCGGCACCGCGAGGCTGTCAGTCTTGCCCATCTTCGTGAAGCCCTCCGCGTAGTCCTGGTGCTGCATCTTGGTCTCGGTAGCACAGAGGCCTCCTCCGCGATGCCCCGCTGCCGGATTGCGTCCACAAGACTGCCGCGCCCCCGTTGTCGCCTGGCGGCCGGGGCCAGGTCGCGCCTCTCCAACTCGCAGGCCATCCTCTCGGCCGCGCGTCCCAGACGCCGCAGATGGGGGGCGGCCAGCCTTGCGGCCCTGCAATCGCGATGGCTCTTCCGTCGTCGCTCGCGCCCCCCCCTGGCGGGCCCGCTTCCGCTCGCCCGTCCAAGGCGGCGCGGCTGGCTGCTCGGGGACAAAGGCTTCTCGGTCAACGAAGTCTGGAAGGCCGGGAAGCCGGCCGGCCGGTGTCGACGCCTGCCGACAAATTCTGAACAAGTTGCAGAAGAACAACGCCACGGAATGTCGGCGACGCATGTGGCGAGAGACATTGCGGGTCCAACATGAGCCCCGCACGCGACGCGGCCCCGGCCGCAATGCGCGAACCTCAGGAAGGCCCTTGCGAATGGCCCACGCCGACGGCGACTCAAGCAACCCCCGCCACATCATGTCTTATATATTCATTGCTTCTCTCCAGAGCCCGCGGCCAAGCGCCGCGCGCCCCCCAGGAAAAGGCCCCCGGCAATTCGCGAAAGATGCAGCCGCCGTGGGTCGGGTAGCAACACTATCTGAAGACCAAAAAACGCATTTAAGAAACGCCCCCAACATTCCAATAACAACCTGCCTCGCAAGGACTTGCCTGGGACACTGCCCAAGTCGCGCCGTCGCGCGCGCGCGTAGCGGCGCAATTTCATTAACTCAGAAACGAACGTATAAAATGCGCGAGAACTGTTCAATGAACAAACGCAGACGGATTTATGAAAACGATTCGCGAAACAAGAAGCGTCGCGATTCGCAATCGTCGCCGCGAGGGCGCGCCGACTAAGACCGCGAGCGCCCCGGACAAAACGATAAGAAGCACGCCTGGCCGGCATGGGGGTGGGCGCTGTTCTCTCGACGCACGAGCCCGCCCATCTCGGGGGCGAGGGCGGCCTCCGGATCGGGGATGGACTGGTGGCTGACTACTCTGCTCCCGATCTCTAGGGGCCGCGGGGGGCCCGGGCTCGCAACCTCGCCGCTCGAGGAACGCGATGATCAGATCATAGCAAGCCTTGCGGGGCCCATGCCCCGGTCTGGATGGCGAGCTCATCTTCCCCAATGCGCCGACGTCGATTGCTTCAGCTCGCGATCGCGGCGCTCTGCCCCCGCCGGGCCCTCGGCCTCGCCAGCTGCGCGGCCAGCCTCAGAAACGTCGAAGGCGAACGCGCGCGAGCCCCGCAGTGGCCCCAGCTGCCCCCGAACATGTATCAAAATACCTTGCTGAATTCCCCACTCACGCAGGGCGCTGGCCCGCGCCGGCTCGGGCCCCACAACGCCCGATTTTGAAGTCGCGAGAGGCCCAGCGAGAACCCGGGTGTTCATGCCGAAGAAGAACTTCAGAAGTGGACCGTCCTAGAAACCGTCCAATCTGCCGACCGGCGATGGCCCCCCCCCCCCGGCTTGGTCGACACCGCATTATCCGACCCCCGAGACGCGCGCCTCGGCGCCGGCCTCGGTCAACCCGTGAATCTGGAAACCAGCGACCCCCACAAGATGGGTCACCTTCCACGCCGGCAAATTGATTTCACCCGCGTCATGACACTCGATTAAAACAATATGAACACGCGTGGAAGGATGCTGCGCTGGCGGGGGTGGTCTGAAATCCCTTGCAGAATTGGATATTGCGAAATCGGGCCCCGCTCCAGGATGCGCTCATGAATGCACAGGGCTATCGACAAGGCCCATATCCAACCCACGTTCACCACATTGAACAACAGAAGCTTTCCAGCACCAAGCGCAGTAGGTTCCAACTCGAAGCGCATCACCCCAAGATCTTTGGCGCCTGCGGGATAAAAACCGAAGTCGCGCGACGGCCATTCGGGAAGCTCGGCGCCCCTCGCAGCTCCAAGCTCGTTCCCCATGCTGAATCCAGCTGGCGCGCGGCCCTGCGCTTCAGAGCGCCAGGACATTGGAAAGTACCGTGTCCTTTTTTCAATGGCCGGCTTATTCCTGCAAGAAGAGCAGCCCACGGCCCCTCGGGCGCACTCCAAAAGCTCACGGGGGTTTTCCTCGGGAGCTAGCTTGGGAGGGGCATGGGCGTTATCCTGATGCATAATAAATCTGCATCTGCACGCCTGCCCCAGGAGACCAGGGGGCCCAGGCCTAAGGGGGGAGTTCGAGACAGGAAAAAGATTATGCGACGCAGCGGCGCTGCGTGCCATCTCACAGCAATCATGACTCCCCCCGAGCCGACGGGAAGCGCCTCGGGATAAAGTCAAGCGGTTCGGGTCAAGGGCGCGGGGACAGCTATCGGGAACAGAAACCATCACCTGACCCAGCTCTCTGATCCCGACGATGCGTCGAGCTCAGACGAAGGACCCGAAGAGCGGGGCTTTCCCCCGGGCCACGCCCCATCAGGGGCCCTTGTTGCCACCGGCCGTGTCTTTGAGAGCGGCGGCCTCCTCTCTCGCCATGCGACGCTGCTTCAGCACCTCTGTTTTCTTGCACTGTATGTCGGTGGCGTTCTTGGCCAGGGCTGGACACGGGGCAACACGTCGCCTAACCGCCAGTGCGATCGCGGACCAGAAAAAGCTCCAGGCCCTCGAACTGCAGCGAGCCGGTGGTCTTCTCGAAAGGATGGTTGCTGCGGCCCGCCAGCTCGACTCAACCGCAGCTTGCCACGTCCACTTGGTCGTGGGATACGCTCAGGTACACGCACCCAGCAGGTCGTGCATCAGGTACGCGGTGCTCGTTCTCTCGATATTTTGGTTCAAAGCCCGCTTGGTCTGACGGCCGTCGAAGGTGCCACCATGAACACGCACGTACATCATCAGCCACATCGTCGGCATCTCGCCCTCCAACGGGAGGTCCTCCATCAGCTCAGCATGCGCCCGACCAACTGGATTGTGAAAGTCAACCCGCCGCTGGCCATTCACATTATACTTGACTTGCAACAGCACTCGGGCGTCCAACACCGTCTCACCGTCCTGCTCGTTGATTATGTCACCGCCGTTCTTCGTAGTCGCGAGGCTCAGACCTTCCAGACCGTCGCTGTCATCGGTGAAGCGGGAGCAAAAACTCCGGCTTTCGGCGTCCAGCTGCACGAGGGCCCAGTCACCAGCTACGAGGTCCGCGCCCTTCATTAGAAGCCCCGCCCTATGCTTCGCGCTGCCGACCGGTCCCCAAGTCAGCCAAATTTCGCCACCGTCTCCACCAACAACTTCTCGTCCTCGTCCAAGTCATTTCCGTGTTCGATTGGAGGTGCCGTCGCCGGGCCCTCGACCGAGCGCGGCGCGGGCAAGCGGACGCCACCCCCAGCCGACCCCGTAGCGTTAGCCACAGCAGCTGGTGCGTGCATCTCCTGGACACGAAAGGCTGGCCGAAGCCGTAGCCGTCCTCCGCCGGGTCGTAGATACTCGATGGACGCATTCACCAGGGTGCCTACTCAGACCAAACCGGTCGTCGCATTATTCACCAGACTCTTGAACTCGTAGTCGTTGGGATAGTCCGCGAAGCTGTGGAAACTCCCCGGGTAGGTGAAGCTCTCACGGCCCACGTGGTCCAGCTGCACTGCCCGACTAGGTCCAGTGTCTCCATCACGACACAGCCCATCATCCTCGTACAGGTCCTTCTCAGGCGACGAGACGTGCCATCCTCCACTGGGGCTTGGATGCACGAGCAACCTCTCATGTCACACGTTGTCATCAAGGTCCCACGGGCCTAGGCACTGCCCACGGACCAATTTACGCAAGAATTCCGCCTCCCCGACGGCTCGGCCGCCCCACAGCCTGTACCGAGCGGGCCGTCGTCGGGCGGGCACCAGCGCCATTGCGACGACAGCAACGAACGAAACTTTCTCCTATACGATTCTCAGCAAGCCAGACGAGAAGGTTTCACAACCTTCCGCAATTTTTTTCGTGCACCCAGACTGCACGGACGCGATGCCAACGCTAGAGATGCGATTATGGAGTCGGCAAGCTGTCCTGCCGCGGGACCGTCAGGGCCCCTCTCCCTTGTGAAACGAAAGTGCTGGCGCGGGTTCCTGGCGAACCTCCTCGGCGGGACAGAGCTCTTCGGTTGCCTCCTCCTCCTCCTCCTCCTCATCCTCCTGCTCCTCCTCCACGGCCAGCCACCTGAACACTTCGAGTTACCCAACAAGGCAGTGACACTCGGACTGAGTGTTTTCGATCCTCCTCCTCCAGCTGGCATGTTCAGCAGCAGTATTGATATCAGGGGGCCTTCGTACCCAGGTGTTGAAAAGACTGGTGGTGACTTGGTCGAAACGCCTCGAAGCTAGGACCCCTCCCACTGCAACAAACTTACGTAGGGGGTGAGCTGTCAGGAAGGGAGGGACCACGCGCCGGATAATTTTAGAAAAAAGGCGATGGAGGGAGCATTTCATTCCATTCGCGTTCGCGTTAAATCCCATGCTAGCATACCGAGCCGAACTTACCCCATCTCAACCCAGGCCAGTTCAGCCCCTGCCCCCCCGACAAAAATATACCGTCCAAACCAAACTTTCGGAGATCCGCGCGGATGTTTGAGATCGGCGATGACCTCCTCCCTGGCGCGCGGAGCGCGGAAAGGGCGGCGTCGGTTGCGCCGTCACGAGGGTCCAACGCCGATTCAAGAAATCCGCGCGGAACTCCGACAATTTACGATTATGCCGTCTTGTTTTCGTCGGATATCGGACGCGCGACTCCTAGCAATGTAGGCTAGGATGGTGTCGAGCTCGATCTTCGACTCCTGTGCCTCGCGAAGCAGCGACAGCGCGCGAATCCACTGCAGACCGTTGTCGTATGCTCTGACCGCAGCGTTGAGCACGAACACGTCCATCTCCAGGTTCGCCGCATAGAGGTCGCAGAGCAGCACTGATGCATGCTGCCACTGCCCAGCTTGTTCGCACGCGCTGACGCAAGCACTGTAAATGATGGCGTCTAACTTGATTGCCCCTTTCGATATTTCGCCGAGCAGGGAAAGCGCATGCTGCCACTGCCCGCCTTTCTCACACGCGCTGAGTCCAGCACTGAAGCTGACTAGGGTTGACCTGTGGACTACCTCCCAGCCGAACTGACTCGCATGCCTGAGCGCGAGCAAGCGTAAGGCACAACGCAACATCTGGCCGACTTTGGGAACACCGTCTCAAGAGATATTTCCCAGCGTGGGCCCAAACCAATCAATTATTGCAACGTGGTGTGTAAGGTCTGTTGTGCAAGCTGTGTGGTGCAATCCGCTCGCCCCCGTGTGGGGCCATCAGGCTGCGTGAGGGAGGTGCCCTGCTCTCTGAACCAGTACCAGTCTCCACATTTCCAACCATACAGTACCACTCTCTGTTTCCTACTGTAAGTTGTTGCTGTCGCGAAGGGGGGGGCAACAACTGCCCTGGCCACCGTCCCCGAATCGCGTTGTCTGAATTCGTGGTGGGTCTGGGACACATAAACATACATGAGATTTGGATCCACGTGAAAATACCACGTCCTACTCTATTGAGAGAACGCGTTTTACGGGCACTTGCCTTGGGAACATTCGGCGGCGCGTTTCAAACCGGGGGGGCGGCCCCCCCCCCACACTCGGCGCCGTCGATCAAAACCAGGGGGACTCCCCTCCCCCCACAACCCCCCTTCCCCGACCCCCCGCCCCCCCCCCCCTCCCCTCCCAAGGGGGGGGGGGTTGAACCCCCCCCCCCAATTCGGGGGGGGGGTTGAACCCCCCCCCTCCCACGGCGCCGGCGTTGGCGGCCGCCAGCAGCGCCCACGGCGGGGACGACCCAGGCAGCCCAGGGGGGGGGGGAACCCCCCCCCCTCCCGGAGGGGGGTTCAAACCCCCCCCCCCCTCGGCGCCGGCGCTGGCGGCGGCCTGCAGCGCCGGCGCTGGCGCCAGCGACGGCTCAAACGCAGCGACGATGACCAGAGGCAGCCCAGGGGGGGGTTCAACCCCCCCCCTCCCTCCCAAGGGGGGGGAGGGGGGGTTTCAACCCCCCCCCCTCGGCGCCAGCGCTGGCGGCGGCCAGCAGCGAAGGCGCTGGCGCCGGCGACGGCGGGGACGCAGCGACGATGACCACCAATACCACCACCACCACCACGACCACCACGACCACCACCGCCTCAACCCACCACCACCACCACCACCACCACCACCAACAGCACCACACAACCACCACCATCACCACAGCCACCACGACCACCACAATCACCACCGCAACTCACCACCACCACTACCACCACCACCACAAAACCCCACCACCACAACCACCACCACCACCACCACAATCTACCACACCACCACCACCACCACCGCCACAACCACAACCACTACAAGCAGCACAACCCACCGCCACCACAACCCACCGCCACCACCACAAACAACCACACCACCACCACCACCACCACCACCGCCGCCACCACCACCACCACAACAAACGTCCTCAAACCAGCGCCACCACCACAACCTACCACCACCACCCCCACACCACCACAACCACCACCACCACAACTCACCATCACCACCACCACTACAAAAACCCACCACCACCACCACAATCTACCATACCACCACCACCACCACCGCCACAGCCACCACCACTACAATCAGCACGACCCACCACCACCACAAACCACCACACCACCACCACCAACACCACCACCCCCACCACAAGCACCACCTCCACAAACCACCGCCACAACCACATCCCACTACCACCACCACAGACCACCACCACACTACCACCAAACCACCACCACCACCACCACCACAACCCACCACCACCACCACCACCACCACCACCACCGTCGTCCTCGTCGACGCTCCCCGCCACCGCCGCCCGCCGCCGCAGGCGCCGGCGCCAGCGCCAGCCGCCGCCGACCCAAGCGCAGCGCCGGCCCAAGGAGAGGGGAAGCAAAGGGGGGGGGGCCGGGGGGGGGAAGGGAGGTTCGAACCCCCCCCCCCTCCGTCACGAGAGGGGGGGGGGGGAGGGGTTCGAACGCCCCCCCCCCCTCCGTCACGGGAAGGGGGGGGGTTCGACCCACCCTCCCCCCCCACTCCATACAGGGAGGGTGGGGGGGGTCCGGTTCCAACCCCCCCCCGCCTCCAAGCGACCACAGAACGCGCTCTTTCTACTCTCGCTACCGAGGCCAACATCTTTCGTAAATTACGCCTGCTTCGCGCTCCCAAAACCAGAATCTATCATACATTGTACCATGTTCGCGCTCCCGAACACAGACTCCGTTATTAAGTTACACCAGACTCGCACTCCCCAAGCCAGAAGCCTTGGCAAATTACACTGGGCTCGCGCCGCCCAAGCCATAATCCCTCGCAGATTACACGTCATCCTCCCTACCGAAAGCAAACTTGCTGTGTAAATAACACTAGCGTGGCGCTCCTGAACAGAGAATCCCTAAACATCATAACCAGACTCGCGCTCCCGAAGCTCGACTCTATAAGGAATTAACACAGGTTCGCGCTCCCGAAACCACAATCCTTTGCAAATGACGCATGGCTCGCGCTCCCAAGGCCAGTCCTCTTGAAAATAATGCCAGGCTCGCGCGCCCGAAGCCGAATCCCCCCGCAAATTACACCCAAATTTGCGCCCCCAGTACCCAGATGGTCGCAAGTAGTCCCCAGCCGCACCGAGGGCTGGCAACGCATAGCATGAGGGGAACGCTCACAAAATTCAGTGAAGTGTTCAACAATCGCCTCAAAACCTCAGCATGTTTAGCCCTGCCCACCCCAGATGTCTCTAAAACGGCGCCTAGACACCCCGACACGGCTCTGATACCTCCATTCTCATAGAGGGGAGGCCGGCGGCAGAGAGCGAAGCACTTACGGATATATGGTCCAGGATCTGCCCCCCCCCCCCACCCCCCCTCATGCTGATGCCATCGGGCCTCCCCCCCGCGCGATGCCCCTCCCCCTCCCTGTGGGTGTGGTGTGATGCTGTAGGTGTGGCGTGTGTGGCGTGGTACTGTGGTGCTCCAGGAAGTCGTCGTCGTTGCCGCCGCCGCAGTCGTCGGAGGAGAAGGGCTCCGGGGGTCGGCGCCGCCGCCGCCGCCGACGCCGTCGTCGTCGTTGTCGTCGCCGTCGTCGTCGTCGTCGTCATCGTCGTCGCCGCCGTCGTCGTCGTGATCGTCGTTGCCGTCGTCGTCGTCGTCGTCGTCGTCGTCGCCGTCGCCGTCGTCGTCGTCGCCGTCGACATCGTCGTCGTCGTCGTCGTCGTCGCCCCCCCCATCCCATCAAGGGGGTCGGGGGGCCCGAATGACCCGGAGACCCTTCCAATCAAGGGGGGGGGCCTTGGGCCCATAGCCCGGGATCACACACACACATATATACATATATATATATATATGTGTATGTATGTATATGTATATGTATATGTATATGTATATGTATATGTATATGTATATGTATATGTATATGTATATGTAAATGTAAATGTATATTATATGTATATGTATATGTATATGTATATATATATGTATTCCTCTTCCCATATTTCTATAAGCCCGGGCGGGGGGAAAACCCGCCCCCCCCCCAAAAAAAACAGTCTCCCGGGATCTGGGGCTTTGGGAACCTCCGGACGGGCCTCGAAGCGGCCACCGGGCCTCGCAGGGCGTTTTGCCAAGCCTTCCCAGCACACCTAGGGCGATCAGGGGGGTCATCGGAGATGCCCCAGGAGACCCCCAAGACAGCACAAGAGCGCTCCAAGAGTGACCGACGTGACCTCAAGATGGCCCAAGAGGCCTCCAGGACAGCCCCAAAGAGGCCTCCAAGAGCACTCCCAAGAAGGCCCCCCGAGGTAAAAACCATTGATTTTCTGTCGGTTTTTGGTGAATGTTGGGTTATCCTCTTTTCGGCTTCCCGAATCTCCAAAACGGCGGTCTTCTGGGCGTCCGAAGCCGCCTGGGAAGCTCCCAAATCGCCCCACAACCATCCGAAAGGGCTTCCAGGCAGTCCGGGAGAGCCCCAAAACGGCACAAAACGGGTCCAAGATGGCCCTCAGAGAGCCCCATGGCGGCCCAAGATGGCCCAAAGACACCCTCCGAAGAATTCCAAATCGTGATTCGGTCGTTCAGGGAGACCGCGGTTGGAGGCAGGGTGGCCCGAGGAAGCCCCCGGAGGCCCCCAGAATACACTCAGGAGGCCTCCAGAAGGCCTTAAGAAAGCCTGAAACAACTTTTGTGAGGCCCCTAGAGGATCTCCAAGGAGGAGCCTCTGCAAAAAACAGCTCAGAAGGATGGGGAGAATGCGCAGGGTATGGCGAAAAAAAAGAAACAGAAGCATGGAGGAAAAATAACGAATAACAAATTATGGCGGCGATGCCGGAAAAAGCAACCAGGAGTTATCGCTAAATTGTCGGCTTGACCTTCCTGCTATTCCGCCTGCATGACCAAGGTGCATGGTGCGAAGCGCCACAGCAGTCTTGCATATACACATCTATACATATACATACTAGAACCATCGCGCGCGCTACGCGCGCGCTCAGGTTCTAGACCAGGCCGGGGGCGCGCTAGAAGATCTTGGACAGCGCTATCAAGCACAGGCGCGTGACATAGTCGTGCCTCCTGAGGGCCTCTTGGGAACCTCTTGGGTCTTCGTGGGGGCATCTGAAGGGCTTCTGGGGGGTTCTCCGTGCTTCCTCACTTGGCTGTTGGAGGCACCTCTTGGGTGCTTTTCGGGGGGGCATCTTGGGGCTTCTTGGGGTCCCTTGGGGGCATCATCAGGGTTCTCCGGGCAGTCGGAAAGTGATGTTCTGCAGTCTGAAGCAGTCAATTGGCCGTCTTGGCTGCGTGGAGGCCCGGCTTGAGGCCACATTGGGGCAATCCGGAAGCCTCTCGGGGCCTCCTTGAAGCAATTTTGATGCATCGAGAGCACTGTTCGGCTATCTTGGGGCTCCGTGTACGTCTCCTGTGAGCCTTTTGGGGCCTGGTGGGGGGCTTTGGGGGCCTCGTTGGACCACTTTGGGACTCTTGGGGCCTCCTGTGAGCCTCTTAGGGCGGAAAGCTCTGCTGTTGGGTTCGCCTTCCCCTTCTTGGGGCTCTCT